TGGCCGGTCCCGGTCCGGTACGGGCGCGACACTGAGGGTTGCGATCCGCTGCCGGTCACGAAAAAAGACAAAAAGGGAAAAAAAAAAAAGAAGGGTAAAACCCAAAGACCTGCGTGAATGGTAAAAACAAATGATTAAATGTCATTGCTAGAAAAAGATAAAATCGTAGATCCCCACCATTTCACATCCTCATCTCTGCAGCGGTGTTTTGTATTTTTACCCACCCATGCAACCTACTTGGGTTCTGAAAAGGATTCCCCTCAGACATGGTCTGTCCGTGGTGTGATGCTCTATCTTTTGAAGCAGCGTAAGGCACATTCCCAGGTGACTGCTCTGGGAAGGAAGGAGATGGGCTTTTCAACACACCGCCATGGGTCTCGAGTCTTGGCAAGAGGGCTGGCTCATGACTACTTCCTGGGACGTCAGCACAGACATCTGGAGTGGGCACCCTGGGGTCCCAGGTGACAGCTGTGCTGCCCATGAAGGTGTCCTCCCCGTCCGACTGCAGCAGGCACTTGGTGGAGAGAGAAGGCACAGAGAAAAGGCTCCCCGCACCTGGCAGTGGTGGTGATGGGGGACTGCAGGGCTCCCCACCCAGAGCTGGTGGCTGTGCGGCAGGACTAGCACTTGTGCGGCACCTGGAAGCCCTCTGGAAGATTCCCTCCCATTTCCTCTTCTCCTCCTTGGGCAGCCGATCTTCAGCAGCCTGGAGCTCCCGGACATCCAGGCCCAGGGCCACCGAGGCCAGCAGAGCGGTGCACCCGAGCAAAGCCACCTCCGTTCTCTTTCTCTGGGGGGGTCTGCTCAGGCTCTCAGCAGGAGCCACCTGGGGAGAGTCCATGACACAGTTTGCAGGGGCTTCCTCCTGCCAGCTTCCAGCTTCCAGTGCATTCTCTCTCGGACTGTCTTTCCAAAGAGGTAGATCTGAGCAGGCCTGACCGGGCAATTCTAACTGCTTTGGCTTTCTGTGTTCTGATCCGTCGGGGAGAAGTTCTGGCTCCTCACAAGCCCCTGAAGAAAAGTATAAATACACACATTATAGTACCATTTTACAATAAAAATCGTTTAAATGGTATTGTAAATTGAACCTAAAAATCTAATAAATAAATATTCTAAATCAAAACACTCAGAGTCCTTTCCAGTCGGGCACATGGTTTCTCCAAGAGAGCTCGAAGGAACGAGACTCCAGAGCCCTGAAACTCCAGGTTCCCTGCAGACAAAATGGCCAGGAAACCATCGGCTCTTTCCAATCCTTCACGAGCATCAGAAACAAAAATTACTGTAGACACGGAGGCATCAAGACACAAAAATGCACAACGGATACACAGGCCACACAAAATGTGTGCTTTTCTTTGCTTTACAGCAGTAAATGTGTCAGCCCCTGTCTGCAGCTCCCTGAGGGTAAAGGGGCCATCATGCAGCACATCCGTGGTTCTCAAAGTGGGCCGCCTGGATGGGGAACTTGCAGAAATGCAAACTCCATCCCAGACTGTGGAATCAGCAATTCCAGGGGTGGAGCCCCGCTGTCTGCATTTTAACAAGCCTTTACTAAAGTTTGGGAGCTGCTACAATAAAGATTCTCCAAGAGGTTGCAGAGTCACCAGGGTTACAAGCCACAGTGGCTGAAGAGGAAGCTAAAATTCTGCCTGTGAGCTGAACAGGGAGTGACCGGACAGCAAACTCCCTCACCTGGTTTCCAAAGCAATCCATGACAGAAGGTCCCACTTTTCCTGCATTACACCTGCCACACCTAAAACGTGCTCCCTAACCTAGACAATCTGGGGTGCCAGCCCTTCCCCGATCAAGCCTGTGCTCTGCCTACTGGCGCCTTTTGTTTGGGGTGCCTTCTTTTTCCTCCACTCGGACCCCCTTCGCCCTCCAGCATTGCTCCCCCAAACTCCCTTTTCCTTCATAAAGGAGGAACCTTCGGGCCGGCCCGGTGGCGCACTGCTACAGTGCACCACTTGGGAAGCGCGGCAGCGCTCCCGC